CGGCCCGTAATTAATTAAAAAAAATTAAAAGTAATAAAAAAATTTTTTAAGCTAAAATAGTTGAAAAAAATTAAAAAAAAAATTAAAAATCGAGTCGTCTCGGTCCGCTAAGGCTCGGGCCAAAGCTCGAGCCGAGCCCGATCTTTTTTTTCTCGGCTCGGCTCGGCTCGTTGACATAGCTATGTAGGCCTCATTCGAGAGACCTTGCAAAAGGAGCATCTTCCTTAACCTCTTGAGCAAAATGTCTACCATTTTAAGAAAAAGCAAAGTCTCTTTGAAAAAAGAGATATTCGGAGTAAAAATGAGTGGAATCAAAGGCCACGATATTAATCCGCGATGAGCAGTGAGAAAAGCTTTTGAAAATGAGGCCGGCCTCTGTTAGAAATGTCCAACACTAGAGACTACATCATCGGAGAACTAGAAGGACTACTGCATATTTTACCAAAGAGGTGGGTGATATGACTGCCAAGTTGAGGAACTTGATGTAGCAAAATGTTGGTATGCCAATCCTTCTTCAAAAAATGTGGGCAAAAGTAGGTATGCAAATACCTCGAAACATGCCTTAGCCTAGCCTATCCCAGCCTATTACCAAAGCAATATAAGAAATCAAGAAGAGGAGGAAGTGCAGTACGATCGCCCTCAAAGCAGGAGAAGAGGGAGAGGTTAGAATCCTTGAAAGAGAGTCGAAGGTTGTCCCTCATATCTTCAATGGGACTCTGTTGGGTTTTGATTTCTAATAAATCTGAGTGATGATTTAAAATATATGTTGGATAATTTATCAATACCATAGGTTTGGCTTGACCCGAAAATGACCGACACTTTTGATGTCATAACTCATTTTTTTATGTCAAAAGTCAAACGTTGACTTGTCAAAGTCTTAGTCAAATAAGGACTTAAATGGAATACATTATTTTATTTGGGGTTATTTTACAAATTGACAATATTTGAAGGTTTAAGATGGATAAAAATTAATTCTGGGTGTTTACTTATATATTATTGAAAGTAAAATAGTTAGATTTTATATCCAATGGAATTAAGGACTAAATGTTATGTTAAATTGAAGAAGAGGGGCTTCCTTTGCAATTGTTGGTATGAGTGGATTACAAGTGGCAATTATATAACCATAACCATTTTCATTTTTCAAGAGATACATTCACACAGAGAAAAATAGGCAGAGAGAAGAAAAATCGAGAAAGAAAGGAAGAAAAGAGAAAAAGGAAGAAAGAAAAGAGAAGGGAAAAAAAAAAAAGAGAAGACGAGAAGAAGAATGAGGGCAAAGAGTTATTGCAAGTAGTGACGTGAAAGCTTGGAAATACTCGTCAATATAACCAAACTGTTATCCATAGATTAGTGAGCGAAAAAGCTTATTTTTTCAGAAGTAAATATTTATTAAATTTATACTATATCAGAAAGTTAATTGTTTCATATATTTGATTTGACAACATGATTTTCAGAATCAAACAGATTTTATAGTTAATTCTTTTAAAGTTAAATTCAGTTCATTTAAATCATTTCTCTAGCATATATATTCATATTATATGTTTCACCATATCTAAAGTCATTTTAAAACCACCAGAAAGTATCCAAGTGATTTTACCTACTCTGAACTGATATGAATGTGTTTTTAAAGTGTATGATCAGATTATCAGAGGTCTTTGGGACCCACTCTTGTACACACATAGGCTTTGGGTCGTGTACTAGGGTGATTAGCTTTTGGGGTAGCTCTGCGTACATAAGACCAGATTATCAGATTTGAATGAC